TAAAGCGCATAGATCCTGCTGCTGGGCGGGGATATGCGCTATACAAATGCTATCTATTATTATTATTATTATGTATATTTTGTACATAACCTGCTAAAGCATTAATAATTATTTCTTTAATGGAGGGTTGGTCAAATAAGGCGGTATCTTCTCTGATCATCTCTTCGCTTGCCTTTTCTTAGGCGGTCGATATGTCGGTAGGCAGATAGGTAGGCAGGTACTTAGATATGTGAGTAGGAAGGTAGGCAAGTAGGTAAGTAGGTAGGTAGGGAGGGAGGTAGATAGGAGACAGGCGGCATACATGCAGGCAGGCAGGCAGACAGGCAAGCAAGCAAGCAGGACGGCAGGTAGGTAGGTAGGAAGGTAGGTAGGTTAATAGGTAAATCTAGGGAGATATCACAGTAGAAGTAACAATCTATATGCGCGAACGATAATGGACAGAGGCACAAAAAGGCCCACCTGTGGTTCGCAATATCTGAAACAATAAAACCCTGGTGTGAGACCAGTAATCACAGCCTCCATTCCCATTGTCATGCGTTTACTGTGGATGTCGGAACTCGATATCTGTGCGCGGGGTCCCCCCCCCTCCCCACTCATAACTCGCTTCACGCCTAACCAACCCAAACTTCCTGATCTCTGTGTATGTGTGTGTGTGTCTGTCTGTCTGTGGTGAGGGGGGGGGTAGTTGAGTGAGGTGTGAGTTTAGTTTATTTTGGTGGATTTGTCGATGTGTGTGTGTGTGTGTGTGTGTGTGTGTGTGTGTGTGTGTGTGTGTGTGTAGCGTAGTGGGTTTTGTGAGCATCCTTCATGAACAATGAGTGGCAAACCATTATCGCCAATACGTGTTTCGGATCAAGATATAATAGAGTGGCGTCCAAAAGAAACAACTTGAAAATGTAATCACTCAATCATCGTGTTAAAGTCTCATGCAGAATACCAATATAAAGCTAAATAGATTCTGCATCATCTGACACATTAATAATCCACTTAGGTTATAGGACACCCGAGATACGGTCGCTTAAAATTAACCTTTATAAAATTAGGCTTTGCAAAAAATGTGCGAAATCAAAGAAACATAAAAGTGTGTTCGCGCGTATTTTGCGGTTCATCAACGTTGGGTGAATGGACATGCATTGAATACCAAATAAAAAGAGAATAATTATTATTGTCTCTGCAATAAACAGCATCTTCATACGATATTTTCTAAGAGAATGGAAAACAGAGCAGTCACAAATACCCCCACAAAACCTGGACTTAACAATACATGTATGGTTTTGCTTTGTTTTGGAACTATTAGATTCATGAAGAGAACAAAATCCTTTTTTTGCACTTGTGCTGTGCTTTAAAAAAAAAAAAAGAACATGCATTAATGTTACGTCCAAATTGTGCTTAGTATTTGAGATTGTTCTCTTTTCCGTTTTGTTTAAAACTATCGTTACAAAATGTAGTACTAGAGTATTGTTTATTGCAAAGACAACATTCTCCATTCATTGGATATGCAATGTATGACCATTCTAACAATATTGATTCTTCCCAATACATGAACGAAGGCAATTTTACGTCTCTTTGATTTCACACAATTTTGGCATGCCTGATTTTTACCGGTCAATTTTGAGTGACGGTATCTCGGGCCCCTCTTAACACAGGTGAATTATTAATGGGTCACATGATGCAGAAGTTATTTAGTTTTAAATTGGTATGTTACATAAGAGGATAATGCAAGGCTTTAACCAGATGATTGGGTGATTATATTTTCAATTTTCTTTCTGACACCACTGTATAATGTGAGTGTGTGTGTGTGTGTATGTGTGAGTGTGTGTGTGTGTGTATGTGTGTGTGCATGTGTGTGCATTTGTGTGTATGTGTGTGTGTGTGTGTGTGTGTGTGTGTGTGTGTGTGTGTGTGTGTGTGCGTGTGATCGTGGGCGCGTGTGTGTATATCATTTCAAAATTAGAGCACGCATTCACAACATTAAGAAAGACAGAAAGGGAAAAAGAAAGAAACAAAGAAGTAAAGCGTTGACGTAACCAAAATAATTTTTCATAGTTTTCGAAAGGTCAAGTTGAGACACAAACACCAATTTTTCATCCACAAGACGAAACATTTCGTCCTCAACTCAACAAACAAGGTTTGGAACAAACGAAATAATTATTACGGTGGGAGAGAGTTTTAAAAAATAAGCCTCAAGAGGTTAAGGGTTCATAATTTTGTGAACGCTGACCCGAAAATCTATCCCTTGACGACGCGTTCAGTTCCGACTTTTGCACCAAGAACGCATTAAACAACCTTTTTTTGTTTCGATTTGCTCGAAATGTAAAACAAATTGCTCTCCCATCTATTCTTTCAGCCTCTTTGACACTGGATTAATGCATGCTTGTTTGTAAAAGTTTCATGTTCCTAATTTTCGACAGTTAGTCTGAAAAACAGCAATTGCGTGTGAAAAAGGTGTCAGATATTATTTTTACTTTTGTTTGTTTATAGGAACACGATTTCTTTTATTTCTTCCCATATTGTTCCTGGCTGAACTTAACGAATTAGACACTCACGATTCCCTGTGCGGTTAGTTTGTCAATTCTGTCGTTTCTAATATTTGCAGCAGTAATTTTGATACGCACGATCACTTTGTTTTTCGGGCCTGAGATACCAATTACCATGTGCACGACATCAAATTGGATTGAAAGGCCGAAAAATTCACAAGAATAATCAGTTAACCCCTTTTATGCATAAGGAAATCATCCAAAACTGTTTATCTGCTTTACCTAAAGACCTAATAATGATAATAATCATAATAATGATAAAAGCAATTATTATAACAATAATAACAATAACAACAATTATTATTA